TTTATTACAGGTGCCAAAAAACAAGGCAAATAAAGAACACTAGATTTTCCAATATTTTTAGAATTTATTATTTAATTATTATGTACGGCAAAATTTTTTTTTTATAATAATTAATTATATTATTGACTTATACACTTAATAATTTAGATTTAAGTTATAAAAATTAAAATACTCAATTTTTTATATTATACCTAATTGTTTTATTATGATTATAATATTTAAACTTAAGCGGTAATTATTTGAATGTAATCTTATCGCAGACGTAGACATAAAAACAACATTTACAGCATGAACAACTACAACTACAGTCAGTGTAGTAGTTCATGATTTACAGTGGTGGCTCCGGAACAGCAATACTTGCCACCGGATCTATTCTATGTAGGCTCGTTTACTCTTCAGGCGTCAGTGTTATCACTTATGTATGTGTTTTGATTATTGTTCCATACTTCCATAGCAAGCCGTGTCGCCAATCGTCATGGGCCATGCCGCCATGGCATTTTTAAGCACTTTTTGAGACATTACTACATTAGTATTTACTATTTAGTATATTTTACTTATAGTAGTTTTAACTTTGGTGTTTAGTGTATCACCGGTGTACCTAAATGGCTATTTACTGATTAGTTAATTGGTAAATACTTTTAAGCATTCATAATTCATGCRCAATTGACCAGTGAAGTGTAAGTTAGGTTGATAAGGACCTCGGACCTTCTCCAGGGTACAACCTACCAGGCTATAATTTACATTACTTTCACAGTAAAATGTTTAATTCATACTTTTAATCTAACAGAGTTATTTGCATTACTTAATTGAGTTTCTACACCGCTGGGCCGCTGGGGTTGTGGTGTACATCAATGTGACCCTTATCGCATTCTTACAAATCACAATCGTTGAATCATATTTTATTCGGCCATTCAAATTGAAGTAGTTTGCAAATATTCATCTAAGATGAGTCGTGGAGGGAAATCGAAAAATGCATACCTGCCTGGAGATTTGGTGGCATTGGGTTCTAAAAATAGTCGTGCCGAACMAAATCCACAAGAGAAACGTGGAAGTAATATTTTATTACATAGAAAACTAATGGAATCAACTTTATCTGGTAAKTTTTTTTTTGATTGTCTTGATGTATGACACTGATGAAAATCAGTCACCAGATGAAACATGGTTATTGATATAAGTATTTGTTTAAATAAATAAAGCACCTTAATATTTTTGGTTTCTATATTTATGTGTAGAACACCGCAATTGACAGTAATTATTGTGCTTGTCCATAGAAAACAAAAAACTTATTATTTTGCCAAGTTAATTAATTAATTTGTATTACTAATGATATGTTCTATAATTATGCATAAATTATAACATTTAATACTATGTTTTCACCATTTTAAATTTAGATAGAAAACGAACTGGACCTCCCATGTCTTCAATACCTAGTAAAAAGCCTAAACATGCAGGCTCTAGTCATAGTTCATTTGCTTGGGAACAGATGTGTATTGAAGTTGATTCCATTGACTTGATTGAATCATTAAGTTATTCTATTCAAAATCAAGAAAATCTAAAAGCTGTAAGTATATAAAAATAAAATTATTTTTCTAACAATACATGACTTGATATATTTAATTAGTTTAATTTTTACCTAAAAATAGAGTTCATTAATTCATACTATATATTTTAATTAATTAAATAATTTAGTTACTGTGAAGATAATTTACAAATTTTAAATACTTTATCCTATATTCTATTTGTTATGTGTGCAAGTAAAATTTACAATAAAAGTTTTAAAATCCCATTATTATGTTTTTTTTTATGATTATGGTTATTACCTTTTAAATAAAATACTGTATTAAATTATAAAACTTGCTTAATTATTAGTTATTCAATTTTAGATCGGATTACTTTTTGGTGCTTTTAAAACCATGCATACACAGCGATTAAAACCAGATTTATTTTGGAGTTTATTAATTGCTGCTCGCCAATTTCCTACATTGTTTCATAATGAAGAAATTATAAATGCTTTGTGCTCCATTCTTACATGTCATTCAGTTGCTTCAACCAAACAGCGACAATATAACATAATAGCTGCAGTTACTTCTGTTAATTTATTAGTATTATCACACGATAAATTATCAATTTGGCCAGAAGCATTTGTCAAGGTAAGTACTTATTTAAAATATAATTAAACCATTTTTGTAAATAACATCATCATTTATCTATTTTAAGGTTTTTGTAGAAGACTCGATGGGTGAACGTTTGTGGGTAGATAATGAAGAATGCCGATATTTTGTTGAAAACATAAGAGTTAGCCTCAATACACGTCCTTCGCCTTTTATTCCTTTGGATTTTTTGGATACAATGAGTTCAACAGAAACAGCAATATTTTCACCAGAAACTTATGAAGTTTCTGTTGTGCCAAGATATGGAGCAAATCAATCAGTAATTGAAAATATTATTTTAGACGTTGCCAAAGAATATTTAATTAGAAGACAATCAACTGAGGGAATATCCAGAAATTTATTAAAATTATTATCAGTTGCTGCTGGAATTTTAGAGGTTAGTTGTTACAATTAATATCATTTAATGAATAATTAAAATTAAAATTTTAGATTCGAGTTATGGTTGCTGGTAAATTGGAAGTTTGGTTACAAAATGCCAAACTCGTCCGGCCAGCCCAAGAATTACTTTTAGCTGTCTGTGTTAACTGTACTTCACGTACTCAAAGAGACTTTGATGTTATTTCAACTATTGTTAAAATGAGATTAAAAACAAAAGCAATGGGTAACTTTTACGTATCATGTATCAAGTAAGAAAATTAAATTTTTTTTACAAACGCATAAATTTTAAATCAYTARAATTTTAGTCAAACATTTAACAATAATATCACTTAATATTATTTTTTTTAGAGAGCTAATTTCAATAAATTCATCTAATTTGCCAGTTGTATTAAAAAATGTAGTTTATAATGAATTGTCT